TGTCCTCTAAACATATTCTCAACCCGGTAACTTTTTCACAGTTGTCCCAGTTCGTTCTAGCAGGAATGCTGCCCTCCTTCTTCCACCCACCCCAACCAAATGAAATTCAAGCAAGAACCCATTTTTTCTTTTCTTTTTTCCCCCAGCAGAAGACAACCCAGTCTCCCAGTACTAGGCAACAAGCAAGGAAAACACATTCCACTGCATACAGATATGAGTAACTGTAAACTTCTTGAAGGCACAACTGGCAGATAAGCTATATATATAATTTTCTAGTTCTTGGGAGGTCCATCCCTTTCTTATACCGCTTTGGGCAACTTCCCATTTAGCCCACATCAAAATCCACCTCTGATTAAAGTTCACACCAGTTTTACTATATTCTCAACCTGCCTGAGTCGATATTTTGCACAACAAAAAAGAAATAAAAAAAACTTCCTTTTTGTAAAATAGCTCAAACTCAGCCAAATTAGTGTCTGTGACAGAAATATTCTCAATTGGATAATAGTCTGGATTTTGGACTACTGAAACAAATGAAAATACTTGAACAATTCCCTCGTGGCACTGGGTGTATTTTTGCCAGTCTTCTGTAAAGGCCAGATTAACAACTGAAAGTTGTACTGCCAACAGATTGTCTTTCCTGACATGTAGAGCATTTTAGCTCCTGAGTCGCCATGGTTACTTCACTGATTGATGTTCACCTGTCATTTTCGGTGGGCATCCATGTCTGTACTCTCTTCAAGTGATATGTTACAAAGTGCTCAGAGAGGTCCAAAGACTACTGATTTATAATCAAACTCATCTGTAAACTTCTTCACAGGTTCATTCCAGACCTGTCTACTGTTGTTCTTGTTCTTAATGAAGCTGCTTTCTCTCTAAATTACACCCAGTTGGAATCCATTCGGATTTTATTTCAATGTATCAAAGTACAACTAAAACAGCTTGAAAACCCCTTTTATTTGTATTCGGTTTCACAATTATGTGCCTCATTATGTTGATGTGCACCAGATTTCAGGTTTTCAGTTGTGGCATGATGAAATGTGAAAAGGTTGGAGGTGGTTGAGTATCTTTCCAATGCGCTGTATGTTTGACCTGAGAGGGTGCAGAAATACAAATGGGGTAACCGTGTCGACAGTGTAGACAATGCTCCAAACATGCTGCAAAGAAAATACATCAATGGCCTCAACGCTTACCTGAGAGCAATAACCACCTTTCTGAAACACTGAATTTTACAGGTGTTTGTGTTATTGACTGCGCTCCCTGTAGGAATCTGTGCCATGAAAAATGCATGTCGTACTGTATAAACTATGCAGTACAGTGCATGAGGAGACTTCACACAGGAGGTTGTAGCGGGGGTTCTGTGTTGTAACACTTTGTTGAATTGCATTCCTTATTTGCCCTCATGAATATAAATTTCTAAACAGGAGTCATGTCATCAAAACTGGGAGGTGTGACAGACACGAGGGGATGGTATCTGTCTAGCCCATGAGACTGCACCAGTCAGAGAGTGTTTTTCACTGTGCAAACTGCTGCTGCTCAAACACAGTTTCATCCAATGGCAGATGTCACCGAATGGAGTGATGAAAGGGGTTTGCACTTTGTACGCTATCCTACAGCTCCCCTTTCTCTGCAGGATAATACAGTCCAAGCAGCAGGGAACACCTAGTGCCTGAAAAATCTGCTTAGACGCAGCTTACTTCCTCCAGAGCATTTCTAAATGTCATCTTGCAAAATCTGTTAATGTTTGAAAAAATGCTAGCAAAAAACAATTAGGTGTCCACAGAGGACCACATCTGAAATCCAGACTCACTTGTATAGATTGTTTGGAATCATTTTTCTGCATCTTTATTTTTAAAAGAGTAAAGTCGATCTTTCAGCACGGACACCATTCTCTGCAGTTATGAGAATCATTCAGTTTTATTTGCAATATTTAGACAGGAAGATAATCAGCAAAGGTCACTAGGTCAGGAATCGAACCAACTGCAACTGCAATGAGAACTAATAGTATCTGTATACAGGTTGCTTGCTGTACCTCCACATTACACACCACTGTGCAGCTTTTTGAGGGAATGGTACATGATGTTTATGAACAATAAGCTCCTGTAGCTTTGAACACCTGTTACACACAGCATGAAATCCTATTCCATTTAGACTAACAACTTTAGATGTTTTTTTGTGGTTGCTGTTCTTTGAAAAGAGTGCTCCCTCAAGATGTGTTGCTTCTAATATTTCTAGTTTTGATATATATTTTTTTTAATTGGAGAAGATTTGAAAAATTTGAAACATAATTTCTAAACATTTCTTAAAATTTCAATTATCACCACACATGATTGCAGCAAATGAGTCAAAATAATATGAAGCAAATACAGACACGGCTCTGTGTTATTTCAGTAATTTAATCGAATAAGTGAAATTTGTATTTTATACAAATTAATTATAAGGTGATGGTTACATATTTTTATGGAGACTCAACCATTGATATTTTTAAGCATATCTATTAAGCAGATGGCACATTTTCATGTCTTGATCAATAAAGAAATGGACACTGTACGCACTTAAAAAAATCTAAACATTAGTTCTTGTACAAATTTTAGTAAGCTTTTCATCTTTTAACAAGCTTTGACAGTATTTTGTTTTTGCATGTAGTTGGCTTTATGATGTGCAAACTGAACACATGCATAATTAATGTATGACTTCAGTTTGTTTTGATTAGGAAGTTAAATTGGAACTTGGGATATTGTTCTTTATCATGCAAAACCCCTTTTTCAGTCCTTTTCTGTCCAGAACCTTAAGAGTCTTTGAAAGTCTGAAAATATCAATAGATGTGTTTTTAAAGCATGCTCAGCTCTGTGACTTTAATGTAATTGGTTTACACAACAGACACAAACAGAAGCTTTTGAAGCGCTTGTATGGCTTCTGTTTTTACAGAAGCTTGCACATTTTTCTTTTCTTTTTTTTTTTTTTTTTTGCTATAAAAGTGAATCAATGTCAGTCTCTTCTACTAAAACTTTTGGGAATGGTGATTAATCATATTTTCCGCAAATCTTGTGATATTCTCCGCAGCACATAGCTGTGAAGCTGAGCTTTGTGGTTGTTGTATGACCAAATGTGGAACAATTCTTTCGTATTAGTATTTTGCGTGGTACTACATGTTATATTTTTTTTCTTCTAGCTGTATTAATTATTAGTCTTCACATTGCACAAATATTTGGGATTCAAAGTTAGACTTTATGTTACTAAGAAACTAGCTTCATTTATTAAAATGATCATTTACAAAGAGGGAACTTCCCTCAAGACGTGTGTCTTTCTGCTGAGCCGGAAAGAAGTAGAGATCTGATTTAATATGTCTTTTGAATCCCTTCCTTCCCTGAGAACTTTGTTGCTACAAAAATCACCTAAGAGCATCTATTACCATTCATCAAGTATACCCACAATTGGCCTACGGGGTGTGTAGCAGTTAGTAATATATCTAAAAATGTCAGACGAGGCAATCCGAAGTGCTTCTTCTATTCCAATAATGTTTTGATACATGGTACTAGCTGTAGTGAAGTAGCTGTAGTAAAAGAGGAAGTCATTCCAGTAATGAAAGAATCCAATTGATGTCAACAACCGACACGGACAAAATTACTTCTCTGGTTTGCAGACATATTGTCAAAAGCATTAAGTGTTGAAATGGTTGGTTTTACACTCACCATCCACTTTATAAAGTTCACCATATTAGCTGCTTGCTAACACACAGAGCCAGTCAGCCAATCACATTGCAGAAACATTGGTCAAAGAGAAAATTACTTCCTTGAATTAAAACCAAACATCAGAACGGCGAAGAAAGAAAATAATTTCAGAAGCAGTAGTTCTGAAACAGCTACTGGAATTTTCACGCACAATCATCTCTCAAGTTTACACAAAGAGATTCTCAAAGAGAAAATAATAAATTGGGCAGCACTTATGTGGATAAATTCCCTTATGTGGAATTTATGCACATAAGTGCTGCTGTGGTAGCAGTGGTCTTCTGCAAAATCAGATGTAAAACAACAGGAAGAATGAATTCAATGAGTCTTGTATCAACAAATCAGGATGGTGATTTTGGGATAATTTCTTGGCACACCCTAAGAACTGCTTCTCAAATTGTCCACCTCTTTATTTTAGCAGCATCTCTGTCTTCTGAGGACCGCTTCCAGGAACATTCTGAACTCTGTCACAAAGCTTAAATAATCTCAGACTAGTTTCCAGTGGAATGCACAGTCACAAGATCCCAACGCAATTGAGAAGTTTTGTGAAGTTGTGGAACAAATACTTATCACGGATCGCCACAGAAATCTGCAGTGACTGTGTGACAGTGTCATGTCAATGCTGACCAAGATCTCAGAGCAATGTTTCTGACACCTTGAGGAATGCACTCCATGAGGAAATTAGGCGGTGATGAAAGCAAGGTGAAGTCCAACTCATTACTATTAAGAAAGATGTACCTAATAAATTGACCTATGAGTGTAACAGTGACTTTTGCATTAAATGCTGGAAAAGTTGTGTAGATAAACCCAAATCCTGATGTAGATTTGTGTTATCTATGAAGATCCAGGCCGGGATAAGAGGATCACCACCACTCAGCCACAGCAGGACACTGAGAATGGAGGTAGCAGCTTTGTTTCCCCCCACAGAGTCTTTTACAACTTCACAAGAAATTCCTAATCATCCAGCGTTGAAAAGAACAGCAGGGACAGATGTGAAGGCATGCATACTGATGGGCTATAGGGGTAATTTTAAAAGTGAGACAAGGCCGCAGGGCACCGTGTGCTCTGATCTCCGTCCTCGGTACCTCGGAGAGAGAGATCCTAAGGACGACCTGGAGGCGCATTAACTTGTGAACCGCGCCATCTAGCGGCTGTGCGAATCACCTGCAGCGCACAGCATCGGGTGGAGCCACGGGCGCCACCGACAGCTGGGTGGGTGGAGTCCTTCTTTCTTTTTCTTTTTCTTTTTTCTTGTCTGTGTGTGAGAGAGAATACTGAACACCTCCACGAGCCTTCCTACGGAATCATCTATCAGTTTCCTAAAAGGGGAAAAACTAAAGCTGTTTGTTGCTGATCTGAAAGTAAGTGATTGATAATTATTTTGTTTTAGAATGAAAGAGGAGGAAAAACTCTGCAGCAGCAGCAGCAGCGGCGCGGTTTCTTCTGAGCCACGCTCAGTTGTTAATGAGGAAGCAGCAGCGGCGCACATGGACTCCGAAAAGGACGAACGGATCATCCGGCTGACGCAATAAAACTTCAGGGCATCTCAGAGAAGATCCACTCTCCACATTAGCAGACTTTGAAGCCGCAGAGTGTGGTGTAAATTGTCAGGAAACCTAAGCATCGAGGCGAGTTTAAGGAGGTTTTTTGTTGATGTTTACACTCTTAAAAAGCGTGAGCGCTGCAGGCGGAGGAACATTTCCTTTTATAGGAGTCCGCTTCACAGCTGTAGTACTGGCGGATGAACTCACGCGAACCCAAGACACGTATGAATGAAACTTCCTGTTCTCGCTGGCAGGTTTAGAACCTGTTTTAATTTATCTACAGTGAATCAGAAAGGAATCCAGGTCACTGAGATCAGAACGTTTTAAAAGTGTCACATTCTAAATCAGTTGTGTTACATTGTGAAAGTTAATTATTTCCAGAGATGACACAAAGTTATCTGAGGTTATGATGTGTGTTGGGGAAAGCATGGTGTCCACATGAGGAAAATGTAGTGCAGAATGGCTTCATTTAATGTAATAATGACAAAAGGTTAATAATTATTTCAGAATAAGTTAGGCGATCATTTTTATATATTTTATCTGCAGATGATATTTGTTGATTTATTTTACTATCGGCCTTCCAGAGACTGAATGCACCAAACTTAACTATGCCGGTCAGATTTCATACCATCATAGCATCCTGACTCTTTGTAAAAGGAAAACAAAATTCAAAGCGGAGTAACAGAGTTCTTAAATTCAGCATCCGCATCGGTCGCTCTTTCTCCCAACAGAACCCATGCTTATCCTAATACTTGGCTGGAAATATGTCTTTTTTGCAGAGGGAATGAAATTAGGGGTGTTGTTAACAAATATTTTAGTAATCGAATAATCGGATTTAAAAAAAAAGATACAGTAAAACATTGGTGTATCTAATGTAACAACATCAGCTATCGGATATCAGCATCAGTCTACTTTTACACATTTGAGCTTCTGTAATAATAACTTTTCTGTAGTTTAGAAAATTAACCCGTAACAATAAAAGCTCACTTTCTGAGTTAACCTGAAGAAAAGTTATACAAAAATCTGAAATCATATTCAATTCAATAATAAAGAGGAAGGCTTAAAAATACGCTTATAAAAAAAATGTCAGTACTCTAGATTTTCATTTATGTATTCATCTTCAGTCAATTAAATAGATGAACTTTGACCTTGCCCAGACATTTCTAGCTTTTCTGTTTTCTGTTAGCGACAGGATTTGACATCTTCGTTCGTCACATAGCATGTGTTCGCCGGAACACGGTGCGCTAAATAATAAAATATAACTTAACGAAGCTTCGAGGCAGATGCATTTTCCTCTAAAAATTCTAATAATCAAGGTACTCAAATCACTCGAGGAATAGTTTTCATCCCTAAATGAAATGACACATTATTTGTTTTAAAGTTATTGCTATGATGATTGTGTATTTGTTTCTACAACTTGAGTTTGAAAATGAACACCAATTACTACAATGAAGAAATTAACAAATAACTCAAGCTTCATAGTTTTTGTCATAACAGTTAATTAGCCTTACCAAGGTTCATAAAATAAATGCAAATACATTCAAGGTAGTAATTAATCCTCCTAATAAGTAGTGTTGCCACCTGACAAGGAAACATAAAATTAATAGTTCTTTTTTAATATATTTTTGGAACAATGCTGCAGGCAGGGTTATTACCAAGAGGTCATGCACTTATCAAGGATACATGAGGAGATATGAGATAAAGTTTCTGTTTTATATTGTGCTGTAGCTTCCCTTGCCTCCTTCAACCTTTTCATTCTGTTGGAAATGTATGCTGCAACATAACTGGAAAAACTGCAGAAAGAAAAAAATATCCATACTTTCGAATATTTTTTTTAGAAATGAAAATGTAAACTTTGCCATTGGTATTCAGCTGCCATTGAGTCAATGTGGTGTGGAACTACCTTTGACTGCAGTTATATCTACACATCTCCATATTGTTTTCATGTTCTCGTGTAGCAGGAGACTGAGATGTTTGTCAATTTGTCTTTAGCTCAAGTTCAGTCATGTTGGATAGAAAACATGGACATAGAGTTTTGTCATAGATTCTCGGTTGTGTATGCACCAGCTTGTTTGGTCTGTCTCATAAAGTGGCAATAAATTGCATTGAAGTTTGTGGTTTTAATGTTGCAAAACTTGGTAGACTAGGTGCTACGTGCTAGGCACTGTAAAGTGTAAAGCATGTGGGTAATTAGCTTGAAAAAATTTGAAGTAGCTATGGTATGTCAACATTGCATCATCAAGCTGAGCACCAGTGATTGGCAATCTTTACTCATGAATATCTTTTGAGCTCAGCCATTCACTTGTAGATCTAGCTATAGGGTTATTCACCTGGAAAGATGTAAATCAAATACAAAGACAAATACATGCCACACTTCTCAGATTTGTGTTTGTGGAAGCATTAAAACATATGTGTTATGCAACAAGCTGGTGCATAATAACTTCACATTATGCACCAGCTTGTTTGTTCTGTCTCATAAAGTGGCAATAAATTGCATTGAAGTTTGGTTTTAATGTTGCAAAACTTGGTAGACTAGGCGCTATGTGCTAGGCACTGTAAAGTGTAAAACATGTTGGTAATTAGCTTGAAAAAAATTGAAGTAGCTATGGTATGTCAACATTGCATCATCAAGCTGAGCCCCAGTGAGCAGGCAGTGTGTGTACACTTCCAGTCCACTCACATTCGCTTTATATTCAAAAACTTGTGTCTGAAACCAATGTTTACATGAAGAGAGGCTAATCAAATGTGTAATTACTTTGTAATTTATGCATTCCTTAGCTGATCTGCTTTTAGAAGTTGTCTTTGAGGCCTAAGTGTGACTGTAGGTATAAAAGTCATTTGAAGGAGTAAATGTATTGTGCCTGCAGGCAAACATTAAAGGCTATGGGACCAATTGCCTTCCTAAATTCATGCACATGCCGATATGAGTCATCAGCACAGAGATTGGCTGAGATGAGGGCAGGGTCCCTTCCTTCCCACCCCCCTTTTTTAGCTCAACTAAGACACGTCACATCATGTTCATTCTGCTGTGTATCTGTGTTGTTAATTCGGAACCACTGACTCATCTCAACACTCCTTTTTTTTCCCCCCGGGACAGAGATGTGGCTAATGATCCCAGTCACCAGCAGCATATAAGGAAACATTGCTGCTAGCCAATTTTAGCTCCAGAAGAAGGAAACACTTATAGTTTCAGATTTTTTTTTTTTCCATTAGATTTTTTTTTCCCCAAGTGTCTATATTTGACTATTTGGTTCAGTTTGTTTTGGCAACTGCGTATAAGTCAGTGTAACAGTTCACTGCGACCTGGGCATGCACCTTAAAATTACTGGCTTTATCTGAGGTTTGTTCACTGCTTGAAATAGATAATGAGCCAGCAATATAATACCATTTTTTATTACAAATATTACAATATCATCCAGGGAAATTGTAAATTGCATATATTCAGGCAAAAATACAATGGTAAAGTTGCCACAGTATCTTTACTGAAACTTATCATTCTAGGAGCATTTCAGACCGTCCTATACTTAGTCACATCCCAGACTATAAATGTTGTATAGGATATATAAACAGATATAAAACTTTGGATAAGAGCTTGCTTTTCTGTTTCAGTTGAATTAACACAATCCTGTACTGTGTTACTATGACTGTCACATCAGCAAACAAAAAACACGACTAACTTTCTGCCCCCTCCAAAACCGAGATGGAAATAAACTCTGGTTGTAAATATCTATTTTATTCATCAGTCAGATACTCATATTTTAAAAATGACTAATACTTGATACTGATGTTAGTGCCACTATCTCATGCATTTATTACAGGCATATTATTCTCTCTGCTTTGTTCTAAACCTTCGAAATCAAACAGTATCCTTTCAAGAAAAAAAAAAAATCATCAAAATGTTAAGGGATGTTTCACCAATACATTTTTTAGACCACATTAACATAACATTTAAAATCTGCTCAGGATTTGCTTGATGTAAGTTTCTAGATGTTGCTGCTATAACAAAAAGAAATAGTCCTATTAAGTTGTCTCTACCTTTATATGAACTTGAAATGGTCTCAGAAGAGGCAGGGGGGTTATTGGTGTCAAGACAGCTGCCTCTGAGGCCATGTGATATATCACTGTTCTATTTGTACACCAAATACCTGAATGGTTTGTACACAAATTGGCATTTGTGTCACATGTCAAGCCCTTGAGTGTAAATATGTCATCTAAAACTGGTGGTAAAGTGATGTACCATCTGGACAACCAAGCTTGGGAGCATTGTGAGGTTGTAGGCAGCAGTGAAAGCCAGGTATCTGTGCTGATTTTGTTGTAAAGCAGATGTGAGAACTTTTCTTTATCATTTCAATTGCTGATGTATTGTTTTTAGCGGAAGCTTGAAGCGATGACTGTTGTATCACAATTGTTTAGTAGATTCTGTTGATGAGAAATTGTCTCCTTCTATTTTAACTCTTTTCAGTAGCAGAATATTGTACATGTTAGCTCCCTTAGTAATTGATATAGAAAACTACAATAAAGCTGCAGGCTCGAACAAATTTGAAAGGAGCTAATTTAGCTTTCTGGAAGAATGGAGCATAATTGATGTAACTAATTGATATTCAAATGGTTAGATCACCCATATTTTAGGTGTGGACATCAAACGTCAATCTCTCACTGGTTTCTGATTGAGGTGTGTTCAATAACCAGAAAGCTGCCCTAGACATTTTCAGATTAAATGCTGGATTTGTGGCATTTAGCCTGATTGGATGTTGTAAATTAGCACCATAAACTGATGAGTCTCTTTCCTGGAATGCCCTGCATAGACGGTAAAAAGATGTGATCTTAAGGTCATGTTTTCTACACTGAGCACGGACGCAGTGCCTTGTAAAATCTTTGCACTCTTTTGACATTTTGTCGTGCCGTGTCACAACCACAAACGTCAATGCATTTCATCAGGAATTTACAAAAAGGATCAGCACAAATGAGTGCACAACTGGGAAGTGGAAGAGAAATGATAAAGGGTTTTAATTTTTGTTTTACAAATAAGATTGTTAAAAGTGGCACACACATTTGCTATGAGCGGCTCTGCAATTTTCTGTAATTGTAAATTCAAGCCTTTTCAGTAGAGTTGGATTTAAATAGTCGATATGGACTTAAAGATTTATCACAATATTTTTTGTTACCACTTTGATAACCACACAAGGAACAATAAGAACTATTGTTTTGGAGAATGTCTCCCTCCACATGTTTGCTGTGTTCCATGCTTTTAGCGGCAAATACAAATAAATACAACTACATGATACACTTTCAACCATTTTTGGTAAAACAACTTAAATAACTTCCCGTTCACTTGACAGCTATTCACTACTTTTTGATGTGTCTTAAAAAATTCCAATGAAAATGGAATGCGTAAGAGGTCTGAATACTTTTTGCAAGTCAAAAGCATTGAATATAAGCCTTTTGTAATAATCTATCCATAGTAAATTAAAATGAGCTTTAAAATTTCTACTGGCATTTTTTGAAGAGAAAATTTGTTTATAGACTTTATAATTTGGTTTCGGTTGTTTGTGGTGTTTATTTTGATTTTTTTGTGGTCATTGTGTTTCATTTTGGATATTTAAAATATATCTAGTTCCATTGTGAAGTGTTCTTTACAAAGTTAAAGTTGTTGGTCTATGACAGGGCAAACTTGCATTTTTACACTATCAGCGATATGTTTCTTGAAAATGGTCTGGAAACAAAATTTATCTCAATAATTTCTGGGACAATTTATCATTCAGCAAATTTTTATATTGTGACAGGCTTGACTGAATATCTTGTGTTTACAATTGTGTCATAATCCCATTCCTGTCTTGTTCTGTCCACAGGTATTTTTGTGTCCCTTTGGCACTAACAGAGATGATTCTGGCTAAATTACAAGGCATTGGGAAGCAGCTCCTGAGGGTGAAGGTTGTGGACTGCAGCACAGACGAAACCCGGCTAGCCCGATGCCTCAAGACCGTTGACCTGGTGGCCCTGGGTGTTGGAAGCACATTGGGTGCCGGTGTTTATGTGCTCGCTGGTGCCGTAGCTCGTGATGACGCTGGACCTTCCATTGTCGTCTCATTTCTCATCGCTGCACTAACTTCTGTGCTTGCCGGTCTGTGCTATGCCGAGTTTGGAGCCCGTGTCCCGAGAACCGGGTCAGCTTACCTCTACACTTATGTGACGGTGGGAGAACTGGGGGGGTTTACCTCGGGCTGGGACCTCATTCTCTCCTATATCATTGGTGAGATCACGTAAAAACAGGAAAGGGAAAGACCTGGCTGCTCATTTCTGTGATTTGTGAATTACCTGAAGATTTCTCTGTGCAGGAACTTCAAGTGTGGCGAGGGCTTGGAGCGCTACCTTCGATGAGCTCACCGGAAGGCACATTGAGCAATTTTGTAGACAAAACATGAAAATGGATATACCATGGCTGGCAGAGTATCCAGACATATTTGCTGTCTTGATCATACTCTCTCTGACAGGTTAGACACAATAATGTCTCTCAGTGACTCCAGTACAGTGTGAATATATTTAGAAAAATAATAATTATTTTATTGATCAGAATAAGAAAGACAAGTTAGTCTAGGACATCAGTTTTGTTTCTGCTTTTTATATACATGTTTTTCTAAACGTTGTTGCTATTCGTCCATTTATTTGTTATTCCCTCCTTCCACTTGTCCATTCCTCCTTTAATTATCCATCCATCTAGGGTTACAACCTAAAAATATTTTACTAATCGATTATTTTATTGACTATTCTGATGATTAAGTGCATAAAAAGTTGTTGCATTTTGCAGAATTCTCTTTCAGCTACTTACAGCTTTACCATAATTACTGCTCTGTGTGTTATTTCTCAGCAAATAGCGTTTCTTTGAGTCTGTATACTCCATTTGACAATCAATTGCTAAATTAGTTGACGACTATTCCATTAAACGATTAGTCACGATTAATCTGATTGTTTCAGTTTTACATCCATCTGTCTGTCACTCCTTCTTTTCTTGTTTTTTTCCTTCCTTTGTTTAATTTTTTTTAATTTTTGCGTAAACAATGGGCTTTAAAATTACAAGGTTTCTTCTCTCCACCCTCTCTGTTTCTATCATATATCCTATCATATTTTTTCCTTTTCAACTTTTCACAGCGTTGCTTGCTTTTGGAGTCAAAGAATCGGCCATGGTGAATAAAATATTCACTTGCCTCAATGTGCTTGTCCTGCTGTTTGTGATCATCTCTGGACTGGTTAAAGGAGACTTAAAAAATTGGAAACTGAACCCTGAAAAGATCCTCAATGCCACTGGAAACGCCACCCATAAGTAGGTTCAATGAAGATCGGTGTATCAGGATTATCATCGCTAATTATCTTCATAAAGTAAATAAGTATTTTCTGTTTTACTTCCAGCACCTCATTTCCCCAACCTACAAAAGGAGCTCTTGGTACAGGTGGCTTCATGCCGTTCGGGTGGACAGGAGTCCTCTCTGGTGCTGCTACCTGTTTTTATGCCTTTGTGGGGTTTGACTGCATAGCCACTACAGGTGACAGCAAATGCATTAACATGGATAGTACACACACACGAGCTGTTACCTGACATATCATTTTTTGTTTATGTCCCTCTCAGGAGAGGAAGTGACGAACCCCCAGAGGGCCATTCCCATCGGCATTGTGGCCTCTCTCCTCATCTGTTTTGTGGCTTACTTCGGCGTATCGGCGGCTCTCACTGTTATGATGCCGTACTACTTGCTGGACAAGAACAGCCCTCTTCCAGTGGCCTTTCAGTATGTGGGCTGGGAGGGAGCCACTTATGCAGTAGCCATTGGCTCTTTATGTGCTCTGTCGACCAGGTAAGTGGGTCTCCTACTGCCTCTCAGCATGAGAAGCCACAGAGGGCGCGTAATTGTTCAGCAGGAATCTTTTGAAAATGAATAATTCATTTCAGCTACCCAGAGTAGTGAATTCTTTTACATAACACTTTACTCGTAGCCGACAAGCTGCAGTTAAAGAATAGTAGGTCGGAGGAACTGAGGCAGGAGACAGATTAGAAAGATTATCGTAGTTAGAAACATTTTCTCTGTTTTTTGGTACAGTAAATGCAAATTTAAAATAATTTAGATTCTGAAATTAAATAATGATCCTTGTAGTATTTACTACACAGGCAAATTTCTGGAAAAATATGGAATTTAGCTAATTTCAACGTGTGGATAAATATGGAAAAAGAAAACGATATGAACCTTTTTTTCCTTCTATGTTTCATTCTTTGTTTTTTATTTCTTTGCTTTTTGGTTTCTGTCCTTGTTTGTTTCTTTCTCTTCTTTTTTAATTTCTTCCTTTTTTGTTTGTTTCTGAGGTACTTATGTGTTTCTGTGTTTTATGTTACCTCTTAAGTCTCGATTGAATATTACTGTCTATCTTTAAACAATTAGTTCCCACATTTATTCAAGAGTAGCAGTACCCCATGTGGAGATGCAGAAAGCCCTGCATGGAGGCTTAGGGAGAATATGAAATACTTCAAAAACAACTGGAGTTGCTCAGGAAGCATACAAAAATAAGTGTAATACATTTTTTGCTCTTATTAAAGTAATTGCATATACCACAGTTGGGTAGATCCAAATTTACAACAGACTGGGGAATTATGCAAAAGTTTCAGTGGTGCATAATTTACATTTGCATAATATACTTGCAAAAAACTAACGAAAACCTTAGAGCCATAAAGATACAGCAATGAATTTTTGATAGCTCTTTAAGTCACAGATAAGCATACAGTAAAATGTTAATAAAATGTTTCTGTTGTGACATAAATGGCCTTCATTATATGCTTTTTCTAATATACGTGTACATATTTGAGCTGTGTGTGTGTCTTTTCCTTGACATTGCATGCTCTTTTCTCCCTCCCTGCACCAACCAGCTTGCTGGGCTCCATGTTCCCAATGCCAAGAGTGATCTGGGCCATGGCAGAGGATGGCCTGCTCTTTAAACCTTTGGCTAAAATCAACAAGCGAACCAAAACCCCCCTAACTGCTACAATAACCTCCGGCATAGTTGCAGGTGAGCTCACACCCTAAACTTACTAACTGGCAGAATGCTGCACGACGTGTGGCCAAGCAGGCCCTTCAACACCTAACATGCAAACGCAGCACAAAGGCAGCAAACTTCAGCTGACGCAGCAGCTGTTCTGTTGGGCTGACAATGTTTGAGGGCTCGTGTGGAACAACAGCTATGTTCTAAAGTCTCCTCCTCCTCCCTTCATTTGTGACGTAGCCTCTTTGGGTCCATGTTTCCACTGCCACGCATTATCTTGCTATGGCTCGTGACGGGGTAATTTTCTCGTTTCTGGCTCGTGTCAGCGAGAGGAAGACGCCCATCGTCTCCACCTTGGTGGCAGGGCTGATGTCTGGCAGGTGGCTGAGATAAAGCCAAAGTCAACAGTGCCTCCATGTGGAAGGAGGAGGGAGGGGGAAAAAATCACACATTGTAAATATATTTGATCTTTACAGTAATAGATTGGCAGTTTCCTGCTGTATTGTTAGACATTATTTTAATTAAACTAATGTGTCAATAATATTTAATCTAATTCTGCTGTGTGTTCTTGTTGAAGTCACTCTGCTGATGTGTATTTTCTCCTCTGTGCCCCGCAGCTGTGATGGCTTTCCTGTTTGAGCTAAAGGACCTGGTGGACCTCATGTCTATTGGCACTTTGATGGCCTATACTCTGGTTGCTGCCTGTGTGTTGGTACTGAGGTAATTGTTTTTCTCACCATGTTTCATTAGACGTATAACCAAAACCAAATGCCAAGAAATATGCAATACTCCTGACTTTGAAGTTTAGATATATGCCAGGAGAATAAATGAATTCTTAGATCAGAAATTGAACATTTAAATGACTACCTCTGAATTCTCAAACTTTAGCACATACCTGAAGCTAGATGGTTTAATTATTTCCCCTAAATCTTGATTTTCTCCTAGTTCTCTGGCCTGCTCCCTCCATCTCAGCATATATTTATAATTTTAAACCTACTAGATTATAACACAATCTACAATGAGCTAGATTTTGTATTCATGCATCCAGTTCTTGATAATAAAAAATCAAACATTTGTTTATTGATAAATGATTTCACCTCATTTTTAAGTCCCGCCTCCCCATCCTTAGTGACGTGTCTGCTCTCTGTTCGCCTGTCGCGTGAAGGTACCAGCCTGAGCAGCCGAGTACGGCCTATGAGATATCCAACACCCAGGATGAGCCTGAGTCGTACAGCGAAGGGAACTCCGAAGATACGGTCAGCATCAAGAATCTCCTGTCCCCGTCCAACTCTGAACCCTCTCCTTTGTCTGGTCGAACCGTCAACATCTGCACCAGCATACTTGGTGAGCCACGAGGATGAAAGTGAACAATTCATGTTGAACTGGCTCAAAGTCTGACGAGGTCTCCTTTTTTTTTCTCCACCAGTTGTTCTGATGTGTGTTTTCAGTGTAGTTGCTGCTCAACAAACTCTGGCCCCTTGGGCTGTGGTTCTGATGTGTGTTACCATGGCGGCTTGTGTACTTCTCACCTTTATTATATACAGGCAGCCTCAGAGCAAAGCCAAGCTGGCCTTTAAGGTGAGTTTGAACTTTAAACCTTTTGCTAATGTTTTATTCCTTTAACCTTTTCACTTTCTGGGATGTTACCACCACAAACTTCTGTGCATTTTTGGGACATTTTATGTGCTAGACCAATGCAAAACAGCACCATAGCAGTATATTATTGAAGTAAAGCAGAGGTAAACATGGATTTCAAACTCAGTGCTCCCAGCTGCTTTCAGAAGCAATCCAATTTTGAATAATGTAGTAGCAAGAACAATGTCAGTTTTGAAGTAAACCTGTAAGGCGCCTCAGTTTTTGTTTGCTTCAATTTCTTTTAGAGACTTGCAAACAAAATAAGGAGTTTTTGTCAGATCAGGATGTTGGTTTGTGAACTAATCACACTGCATTTAGTTGTCTGGATTGGAGTTCATTTCAGAACTATGTTTTTGTGAAGGAGTTTTTTTTAAGGACATCGTTTGAAATGGATTCTCTTTCCACAGGTTCCCTTGTTGCCCTTCATTCCCATCCTCAGCATGTTTGTCAATATCTACTTGATGATGCAGCTCAATAAAGGAACCTGGGTGCGCTTTACCATTTGGATGTTGATAGGTACTGTGTCTCAAGAGTGCAACATTTTCTGCCGGCTTTTCTAAGTATAGTCTGACCTCTCTGACCTGATATTCCTCCACTACTACAGGTATCTTCATCTACTTCCTCTATGGCTTTCGGAACAGTGCAGAGGCGACCAGGTCTGATGCCTGCTCAATAAAAGGAGAGCCAATGACCAGAGAGAAGGAGTCCTCGAACACACCAAACTGCATTCGAGATGGAGAGACTGATGAGGAAACGAGTGCTTACACACTTTGAGATTTTCTGAAATATTTGGACAGATATGCTACAAGTTCGCTATCTCCAAACTGACAACATGCCAAAACAACAAACACATTTTCAGTGATATATTTATTTTGCAGAATTAGCTGTGGCTCATAGACTCTGAGCCTAATGTTTTAATATCTGTTGCTTACTGTGAATTACAGAGATTATTGACAGAGCTAACAATCACCCACTCAGTTTTCTGCCAGAACACTTAATGCATATATTAGGTGTTAGGTGGATTGAAAAAAAATTTATTTACGTTACTGAAAACATAGTTGTTTTATGCATTAATTTTACATCTCAAGGAAATGCATTATCCTGCCTTAATGAGCTGCTCAAATTTGAACAATACGTTGACGTATTGCTCTAATCACAAATTAGAATAATGCGTCAACGTGTTGCAAATTAGCCCATCAAAAACAAGTTTGTTGGGTTTAAAGACGAGTATTGTTTTTATGAGGGGAAATTGCAAGTTTCATCTGAAACCTGCAAAGCTGCTAATATGGAGTTTTTATCAGATACTTGAGGGATTGTTTTAAGTGTCTTTTTCCCAAAGAGATGTCACAACTTTAAAGGTGAGAACATTTGATACTTGTTATGAGATGACAATGCAATTTATTGTCTGTACAGTATGCTCTGGTGTATGAAAATCCAGTTTTAAGTAATACGGAAAATTTTATTTTTGGACAATTTTTACATTTTTTGTGCATGTTCATTTAAACAGTAAGAACAGTTTTAGTGTGGTCAGGATTTGTTTGAGTGGTCAAAACTTGCTTAATTTGCTCTTCTCAAACTCACTGTAGCAACTGCAACAAGTGTCTCTTTAAAAAAATTTCATCCCAGGTACAGGTAAAAGCCAATTGTCCAGCAATCAATGCTGAACTTATGCTTCAAAGTTTAGTACCTTTAAAGTTTCTGATTATGTTTCATAATTAATACGTGCTTAGCATTATCACTGTGACTGTGTTGCATTTAACTCACTCACTAGTGATATTCCAGATATTTTTTCACAAGAGCAGACAATATTTTGACCTTTCTGGTATTTTGCAGGTCAGTCTTGCATGTCCAAAAATATGTCTTAGAGCCACAAAGTAAATTTACATATTTCTCCTGTTAACTGTGCTTTCATGTGGAACATGCTAGGCTAATGCTAGCATGTTGATTCAATTTTGATGCGACTCGTTGATAATTTGGGAAAATATCTGATTGATTTTAGAAGAAACATGCATTCAAAGGATTACTCTCCTGTTTTATAAACTTAGTGCACTGATCTGATCACCATAAAATGTCATGATCCATGTTTTATCTGCACTCTTGTCTCCATCAACAGCTGTCTGTTGTACAGCATGTAGAACCGGTAATATGATAGACGGACTCAAAGCTGAAAGAGTCTCTTGTCTCTTGTGGTGACCTTCATTGCAAATTATTTTAAACTCTTTTATTGTTTGTGAATATTCAGATTGTTAGATCAACAAAATAATCTGGAACAATTTTGCAACTTCATCTCCTCTGGTTTTATAAAGCTCAGTTTCCTGGGAGGTTGGCTAACATAAAATCACCGTCTGTACACAATTAATGGATATAAAGAGTGAAGCTTACCGACAGATGCCTACACCAGTCATGTAAATGTCTTGCTCTGGACCCTCTTCAAATGCTTGGGATTGTACTAGGACATGCCTAATTAGGATGCACCCCAAGCAGGACTATGCTATGTATGATACAGTTTACTGATGAAAGCTACTGTGACTGTGTGAAGATCCACCAGGCAGCTCAAACATGAATGTTACATATCAAAATGGCAACTAGGTGAAATGTGTGCGTTAGAAAATTTCCATTTTCAAGTGGATTTTCTAACTCAGTTTTCTTGGTTGGATACCATGGATTTACCAATAAACTTGAATATGAATTGCTTTAGGATTGAGTTCTACTTCCGTTTACTTGTCTGCTGGACTTGAATTCAATTCTGGTAAATTTATATTAGTAGAGCAGGATACTGCTCTACTAATTTACATATTGTGTTGATCTTTTTCACAGTGTCAGTGCGCGCTGTCTTTCATGTAAGATCACCAACAATATACATAAAATGTAACTATGCTCAGATTTAGTTAATTGTGTGATTGTGCTTAATAGAGTTGTTTTACCATGTGGTAAATACCAATAACAATATAAAGGAATATGCCAAATTTACTCAAGTTTGGTTGGCTCGTAAAGGTTTTTTTCACCTTCTAAATGAAGGATTTTCCATACAACCTTTAGAGTACAGTGTTCAAATGCTATGTGACAAATTAACAGTTTGCCAGGTGCTCGTTTATATTCATTAACCTAAACGTTTTGCGGCATTCTGGTGAATATCTACAATATATTCTGAAAGTATTTGAGATGCTGTTTTCTGTGTCCACCATCTGTTTATGAATTTATTTGGTTCTGTAAATAAATCATGATGAATGTTAAAACCTAAATTTTCCCTCATTATTATTTTTTTTACATGGTATCGGATCTTCTAATTGCCAAAATTGGAAAAAAATACACTTGAAATTATGTTTAACAATTGTGATGTGACAGTTAAATCTCTTGAAATGTTTCTTATGCTGCGCTGCACATGTCACCTCTCTGTACTTTATGTTTTAAGGAGTCTGCTTTCCAATTTTTTGTAAAGAATCTTAATCATTAGGTCTACAGGCTTTCTGAAGAACTTTAATAAAAGATTTTCACTCATTCTTAGTGAAGTTCCTCATCATTTCAAATGAATATTGTTTATTAAGCCAGTCCCCCCCACTTTCCTACAAAAGGCTGCAAGTCAAGACGTGACCTTGTTATGTCACAAGAGATAACTTAGCAGCCTTTGAACTTTTTCGCATTTTGTCTGATTAGAACCACAACCATTAATGTATGTGTTTTTGAAAAGATACGACACAGTAGGGAAGTGGAAAAGAAAAATGTTTATGAGGTGTTTAATTCATAAAATTCAGAACAGTGTGTAGGACAAATGTGTTTCAGAAATACGTCCCCACAGCATGATTCTGTCACCACCGTGTTTCACCAAGAGGCTGCTGTGGTTAAGGGGCTGTGCGCTGTGCAAAATTGTCCACAGCGCACTTACGTTGGCTTTCACAGAACGTCACTGAAATATTTCAACAATTCAGATGTCATTAAGTGGTTTAATACAAAAAGTAAAGGGCAAAGTCCAAACAAAGCAAATGAATTTTGATTATTTTTGAAAGACTGCCAGAAAAAATCACCCCTACAGGTACGAAGATGTATTCAGTGTTTTATTATTATTACTGCTCTGTGATTTACTTCTGAGCAGTACTTCATCTTGTGTTTGTGAAGTTATTGGATGTAATTACTGGTTCAGACCAGCAGGTGGCAACCGAAACCCACCTCAGCGTCACCTCTCGTCTTCTCACCTCCTCCCTATTTTCCAACAATCCTGCAGACTGATTCCTCTTCATCTCGCCTTAACACCCGATGTTTCGCTTCTCTTCCGTCCTCTCGTCGCCTTGGAGCCCTTCAGGAGAGGACTTGCAGAATCCAGCCGGTAAGCGTCTCCATTCCTGCTGAAGGACAGCAGGTGAGTCCTGCTTGTCTCCGTCTCACTCTCAGGCTCGGGAATAAATGGGATTGATGAAGGCTGCTGCATCTGCTGGGATGCTGCGGGTGAGCCTGTTGGTGCTGGTGTCTGCAATAAGCTGTGGTTAATTGTTTTTTTAGGAGTGGCAGCTTGATTAATATTATCTCCTTCCTGTAGGTGTGCTGACCTTCATTCTGTCAGATTCTGAGTTATCCATATCCTGTATTTCATCTGTTATGTCTGCATTTGCAATATACCTCCTTCCTTTTTCTTTTTTGGATGATGAATATGGATGTATTATATTTGGAAATGATATAAGGAAGGACTGGAGATGAGTAAAACTAAGATGACAGATTCAGCTGGTCACAGTTCACAGTTAGTCCAGATGTGACAGTCACAGCAAAGAACGAAAATGGTCTACATGTAGGGCCTGAAAGCTATAGCTTATGTCATATTTTTATTCATTAACACAGCAAACCATCTGCACACCAAACGCTGCAGACTTCCAGTGGGCACACAAAGAAATCAGAACTACTCAGGCATTAAAAATTGGAGGGAGACTGGTGCCTCCATTTTCATACATCTTCAATATTTCATGAGAATCATGCACAAACCATCCAGTGAAGCTAAGTACACTAAATGTGGGTCTTGATCTCTGTTTTGCTTCAGGATGATAACTCCTGACGCAGAGGAAGCCTCAGCTTCACAGAAGACTACAAGTTATTGCAGTCCACAGTCAAAACAAGTGTACAGATTTCATCACAGCGAAGGTCCTTCCTGGTTGTCAGGAGGCAGGTGGCAGGGTGAGTCGCTGGGTTATGGGGGATGGTGAGAGAGAGAAATATGCTCAGGGAAGCGTGTTGTTAAGACTGGCAAAAATTTCCTAATTATCCCTTGTGCTATAATTATCAGGTTGCCTGAGGTGTTTGAGGAGCTCAGCAACAGCAGGAAAACAAGAAAGAAACTGGCGCACGTGCTAGCATTAATGTAGCGTGCAGCTATAACTGTCCAGCAAAGCATGAGTGTGTTCCCTAAGGAACTGCACTTTATTTGGAATATATCGTATGCACTTTACTTGAGTCCTTACATTTATGATACTTTACTACGTGTTCCAAATTATTATGCAAAATGAATTTAAGTGTCATAAAGATTAAATGTTTTGTTGACTATTAAATTTGTAGATAGTGTGTGTCAGGGCTGTTTGAATCACTATAATTAATTTCAGAGAGCTGGTTGATTAGTTTGTTTGGTGAACTCAATTAAAGGAAATCCACTTCAGAAGGATGTTCCATATTATTAATGTGGAACATTGTAGGTTTAAAGCAATTTGGGAAAGAGGAAGGATCTATCTGCTGACGAAAATCATTAGATAGTGTAGTGCCGTATGACAAGGTTTTACATAAGGGAAAAAAGTTTGATTTCTAGTCTCTTCAACTTGTTTGTGACAAACTTTAAACTTTTGTCTCTTTCCATGATGTCTTTCTGATTTACATTGTTCCATAAAAGCTAGATTTCCTGACTAAAAGTTCTCCTGTCAAATAATTCTCCTACTCAGGCTGAAGAGGTCTGGATTATGAGCTTTTCAGTTTTTTTCCTTTGTATTTAAAAAAAACTGAAAAGCCGTAGGTGTTGCTTTTTTCAACTTTACAGGTGTTCCATAATTGGTCTGTCACATAAGATTTAGATAAATTACATAGACATTTCTGTCTATGTAAAACAAGTTCAAGGAAATAAATGTATGTGCAACATACTGTAAATAATAATTCGACATTGGACATGTTCCGCCTGGGAAAAAAAAGCAGCTTATTTTTTCTTAAAAGTGTGAACAGAATCAAGTTTATCTCTTCAATTACTGTTACACTGTACAAATGTTTTTCTAACTCAAACTGTTCAGAGTTTTGATTGAATAAATCTTTCAAAATGTAATATTGAGAGATACATTTTCAGTATTTGATAGATATGATGTCATATCTGTCACCACTGCTCTGATAAATACTGATGGCCTGGACTGTCTGTGCATTGACTTTGTGCTGGATTGATTTCAAGCTGGAATTCAATTTAAGGCATGGGAAAGCAATCAAGACCATAGCAGAAACAAGCCTTTTTACCCAACTGCAGCTACTTTCTTGAAAAATGATCTCTTGTCAGACATCCCTGGATGTCTGGTTGCCCTAGGTGAGGTCTTAGCTTTATTTGGTGTGAAGAAATTTTATGTGAGCTGGCTCGATACAGGCTGTTGGGATTGATCCGCACAATGAAACTTTAAGAACCACAAAGAGAATTGTAGATAAAATGCTGCAGAGATGAGCTAAACAGACTCGTGCTCATTTCAGAGTTTCTTCATATTTATACGCTTTCAACAGAACGCTTAGGAGAAACTAACACAAGGTTGTTATTTAGACATAACACAGCAGTCATTTGACTATTGTGTTTTTATTCTAGGAGTGTTTTCCATTGCATTTGCTTTTTAGTGATCTTTGACACAAAAAGATACTAATATAAATTGTTGATGTCTTATGGCATGTCAATGAATTCACATGATACAATAAAAACTTTAGATTGTCTACTTGTTTTTGAACAAGCATGTGTGCTTTACACTGACTGGCACATTTATTTGTAATGATGTGTGGGACAAAAAGAGATAAAATAAAGTAACCATTTATCGGAAAGACGAAATCTCACATGGACAGCACATCTCTCACATGACATGTATGTTGCACATATTCTCATTTGTGGTTATAATGTTGCAATAATCATAGAGACTTAATAATAGCATATCACACTACAGCTTGTCTGCACTGCAGTAAATTCAGTCAACTTAGGTGAACATGATGGGATGAACTGCTATGAAATGAATGTCAACAATAAATGACATTTTATTTCCAATGAGTCAGTTGAAATAAAATAAAGCCAAATGGGGACTACTGCTACTGAAAAAGTAAAATACCTGGGTATGATGCACCAGAATACTGTAAATTACATAGTGCATGCGTATTGAAGTGCAATACGCATACACTATGCACTTCAAGTGTGACAGTAATTCTATGACATGTCAGAATTTAATTTTTCTTACATTTAGACAAACATAATATACTAGCAAGATAGGTGACAATATGACAGCAGTTTAAGAGAGCTAAAAATGTGTTCGAATCTCAAACAAAGGGTTCTCAGGTCACCATGTCTCCTCTAGGCCTGTAGGATTTTTCACACAATTATCTAGGTTGCTGATAAGTGTGGAAATATTCAACCTATAACCCACCTGCGAGACCTGAAAGCAGAAATAAATTTACACTTTGATTTCAATAAAACCTCTTGCGTTGCTGTACGAGACCTGATCAGCAGGGACAGGAAGTGCATGTATAAAGGAATCTGATATGTGATTTATCGGTTTGTGTACAGCAGAGGGCTTTGCTGAATCATCTTGTCTCATGTGCCTGCAAGTGCAAAGTAACTGGGGTAAATCTCTGCAGCTTGTCTTCACCTAAGTAACCATAAGTGAAAAGAACTAAACTAGTGAACTGCATTACCTGCATGTAACTTGCAGGCACATGTTTTTGTTCTTGTTGTAGACATATGTCAAGCCTTCACAAGACTGTTTTTATTTGTACTGTGTAAGGCACAGGAATGGGGAGTAAAACCATGAAGCAGAGCAGCATTCAGTAGTTTAGCTTTTTGCTAACAGGCTGGTGTGTGACAAAGACATTTACTAATGTTATGTTGGTGCACAGAGCAAATCAATCAAGCCTTTGTTTAACTCTTTGCAGGTTCACATTTTTGTGAGGAAAAAAAAACACTTATCATTATAATGAGGCTTGGTATCAGGACAGTTTTATTAAATATCCAGTTAGATTTTATGAGCTGAATGAACTTGTAAAACAGCAGCGGATAAATTCTTAGATTTGCCGATGAGAGCTTAATGCAGGTGGATTTGTGGGAACGGCTGAGATCAGAGGGACTTTCAAGGCTCTTTTACTGCACAGGAATTCAGTCAGGAAATCCTTTGCAGACATCCTTTATTACATTTTTTTAACAAAAAGATGAAGGGAAATGGCAGGAAAGTTGTGCCTCTGATTTCCTCCACTTTGCAGAATTGAGCAGCTGCAAAACTTCCTTCAGCAGAGAAATTTGAGAAACCTGTCTGGCA